AACTTGTAAAGATGCTCAGTATCACTCATGTTAAGAGGAATGAAAATTAGTCAAAAATGAACAATGGCCACTCACCTAGTAGAATGGTTAAAACTAAAGCAAAACAACAGACTCCTGCTATTCAGTGTTGATGAGGAGCAGAGCCACTGGAACCTTCATTTGCTCCTGGTGGATGCAAGCCGGTGCAGCCACCTTGGAAAAACCTTAAGCTTCTTAGAAAGTTAAACCCTGAGTTACCATATGGCCCAGCAATCTCACTCATAGGTATTTATGCAAGATGAATAAAAACACATTCACAGGCCAGGCACAGTGACTTACGTTTGTAGTCCTGGCACTTTGGGAGGTCCAGGCAGAAGTTTCACTTGAGGCTAGGAGTTGGAGATCAGCTGGAGCAACATAGCAAGACCCTGTCTCCACAAAAAATAAAAGAAATTGGCTAGGCGTGGTAGCACGTGCCTGTAGCGCTAGCCCACTCACAAGGTTGAGGTGGGAAGATTGCTTGAGCCCAGCAGTTAAAGACTGCAGTGAGCCATGATCATACCATTGCACTCCAGCCTGGGTGACAGAGTGAGACCCATTCTCTCAAAGACATTTTTTTAATTACAAAAGAAAAATAGCCCAGGCGCAGTGGCTCATGCCTGTGCCAGCACTTTGGGAGGCTGAGGCAGGTGGATCACTTGAGCTCAGGAGTTCAAGACCAGCCTGGGCCATGTGGCAAAAACTCTTTTCTACACACACACACACACACACACAAAAGGAAAAATTAGCCACATGTGCTGGCATGCACCGGTAGTCCCAGCTATTTGGGAGGTTGTGGTGGGAGGATCACTTGAGCCCAGGAGGTTGAGGCTGCAGTGAGCTGTGATTATGCCACTGCACTCCAGCCTGGGTGACAAAATGAGACCTTGTCTCAAAAAATAATATTAAAGAGGTTTACAGAAAAATCTGTTGGTAAGTGTTTATAGCAGCTTTATTCACAATTGGCCCAAACCAGAAACAGCCAAAATGTCCTTCAACCAGTGAATGAATAAACATTTAGTAGCACATCCATATAATGTGCTACTCAGCAATAGAAAGGAACCATTGCTGTGCACAACAGCATGAGTCATTCATAAATGCATCTTACAGCTCCAGGAGCCAGACCCTGCAGACTGCATGACTTCACCGATATGACATTATGGAAAAGAAAAAACTGTAGGGATAGAGAAAAGGTCAGTGATGTTCAGTGGTGGGGATGGGAGCTGGAGTTGACTATGAAAGGTCAGGCTGAGGAAATTCTGGCGGTGGGGTAGACAGAACTGCTCTCTGTCGTGTTTGAGGTGGTGGATACATAACTGTATATGCCAGGAAAAAAAGAGACAAGCAATGCTCTGCCATGTTGGAAAAGGATATATTTAAGTGAGTTTGACTATATAGAGAGAAATCTCTCTAAGTTTATCTCTATATATTTCCCTTCCTTTCTTGGTGGACAGATGCTCCTCAGCTTAATGATGAGGCTACATCCCAATAAATGCATCGTAAGTTGAAAATACTGTTAAGTTGAAAATACAGACCAGGTGCAGTGGCTCACACCTGTAATCGCAGCACTTTGGGAGGCTAAGGCAGGTGGATCACCTGAGGTCGGGAGTTTGAGACCAGGCTCACCAATGTGGTGAAACCCCATGTCTACTAAAAGTACAAATATTAGCCAAGCATGGTGGTGTGCACCTGTAGTTCCAGCTGCTTTGGAGGCTGAGGCAGGAGAATTGCTTGAACCTGGGAGACGGATGTTGCAGCAAGCCGAGACTGTGCCACTCCACTCCAGCCCGGGTGACAGAGCCAGACTCTGTCTCAAAAAAAAAAAAAAGAAAAAAGAAAATGTGGTACATATACACTAGGGAATACTATGCAGCCATAAAAGGAATGAGATCATGTCTTTTACAGGGACAAGGATGGAGTTGGAGGCCATTATCCTTCACAAACTAACGCAGGATCAGAAAATCAAATACTGCATGTTCTCACTTATAAGTGGGAGCTGAATGATGAGAACACATGGACACAAGGAGGGGAACGTCACACAGTGGGGCCTGTCCGAGGGTCGCCGGGGAGGAAGGAGAGCATCGGGAACAATAGTGAATGGATGCTGGGCTTGATGCCTAGGTGATGGGGTGATATTTGCAGCAGACCACCATGGCACATGTTTACCTAGGTAACAGACCTGCACATCCTGCACATGTATCCCTGAACTTAAAATTAAAAAAAGAATGCATTGACTACACCTAACCTACCAATCACAGTTTAGCCTAGCCTGCCTTAAACATGCTCAGAACACTCACATTAGCTTCCAGTTAGGCATAATAATTTAACACAAAATTTATTACATTTCATAGTGAAGTGTTAGATATCTCAAATAATTTATCAGATTTATTGTACTGAAAGTGAAAAACAGAATTGTTGTATGGGTACCTGAAGTACAGTTTCTAGTGAACGTGAATTGCTTTCATAGCATCTTGAAGTTGAAAAATCCATCATAGGTGGAATCATAGTAAATTGGGGACGGTCTGCATGTGTCTACCTGAGGTGCTGAAATGAATTTCTTCTCTCATAGATCATATCTGGAGTCAGGAGGAGCCTCAGAACATGGGTCCATGGTCTTTTGTTTCTCCAAGGTTTGAAAAGCAGCTGGCCTGCAAGGTAATCACACTTTTTCTCCGGGAGTGTTTTGTGTGCATGTTTTTCTTGGAGCATCAACAAATGGGTTTATTCCCTATTGCCAGTTCAATTCTTTAAAGATAAACCAAAATATAAAATCTAGTTTTAGGCTGTTCCTGCAGAAGAAAATGTTGAGTATTTATGGGGCCATATATATATATATGCACATGTTTCTTTCTTTCTTTCTTTCTTTTTTTTTTTTTTTTTTTTTTTTTTTTTTTTTTTTTTGAGACGGAGTTTCACTCATGTTACCCAGGCTGGAGTGCAATGGCGCGATCTCGGCTCACTGCAACCTCCGCCTCCTGGGTTCAGGCAATTCTCCTGCCTCAGCCTCCTGAGTAGCTGGGATTACAGGCACGCGCCACCATGCCCAGCTAATTTTTTGTATTTTTAGTAGAGATGGGGTTTCACCATGTTGACCAGGATGGTCTCGATCTCTTGACCTCGTGATCCACCCGCCTCGGCCTCCCAAAGTGCTGGGATTACAGGCTTGAGCCACCGCGCCCGGCCTCTTTCTTTTTTTCTGAGACAGAGTCTTGCTTTGTCACTCAGGCAGGAGTGCAATGCCATGATCTCAGCCCCCTGCAACCTCTACCTCCCAAGTTCAATCGATTCTACTGCCTCAGCCTCCCCAGTAGCTGGGATTACAGGCACTGCCATCATGACTGGCTAATTTTTTATATTTTTGTAGAGACTGGGTTTCACCATGTTGGCCAGGCTGGTGTCGAACTCCTGACCTCAGGTGATTTGCCCACCTTGGCCTCCCAAAATGCTGGGATTACAGATGTGAGCCACCATGCTCGGCCTACGTGTTTCATTTCTTTCCTTGATGTGTTGCATAACAACATTTTGGTCATCAACATATTAAAATCATTTTTTAAAAAGTGGTTATACTCAGCCGGGCATGGTGGCTCATGCCTGTAATCCCAGCACTTTGGGAGGCCAAGGGGGGTGTATCACAAGGTAAGGAGATGGATACCATTTTGGCCAACATGGTGAAATCCCATCTGTACTAGAAATATACAAATTAGAAATATACAAATTAGCTGGGCCTGGTGGTATGCAACTGTAGTCCCAGCTACTCAGGAGGCTGAGGCAGGAGAGTTGCTTGAACCTCAGAGGCAGAGGTTGCAGTGAGCCAAGATCACACCACTGCACTCATCCTGAAAACAGCGTGAGACTTTGTTTCAAAAAAAAAAGTGGTTATATTCAAAAAAGTAAAAGCCCTTACCTTTTGTCTCTCCATCCCACTACCTCAGCATGTCTTATCTAAGCCTTGGTCAAGCCAGAGGACGAGCAGACTTGTTTTACAGTATGGGACTGGATACACCCAATAACGCTCATTCCAAGCCCATTGTATTAGTTTGTTCTCACATTGCTGTAAAGAAATAACCTGATGCCGGTGCAGTGGATCATGCCTGTAATCCCAGCACTTTGGGAGGCCGAGGCAGGTGGATCACCTGAGGTCAGGAGTTTGAGACCAGCCTAGCCCATGTGGTAAAATCCCTCTCTACTAAAAGTACAAAATTTAGCCAGGTGCGGTGTTGGGTGCCTATAATCTTAACTACTCCGGAGGCTGAGGCAGGAGAATCTCTTGAACCCATCAGGTGGAGGTTGCTATGAACTGAGATCACGTCACTGCACTTCAGCCTGGGCGACAGAGTGACACTCTATCTCAAAAAAAAAAAAAAAAAATACCTAAGACTGGGTAATTTCTAAGAAAAGAGGTTTATTAGGCTCACAGTTCTGCAGGCTGTACAGGAAGCGTGGCATCTTCTTTTTCTGGGGAGGCCTCAGGAAGCTTCCAATCATGGCAGAAGGCAAGCGGGGAGCAGGCGTGTTACATGGTGACAGCAGGAGCAAGGGAGGATTGGAAAGTGGTGCCACATACTTTTAAATGACCAGATCTCATGAGAACTCACTCATGATCACAAGGACAGCACCAAGGGGATGGTGCTAAAACATTTATGAGAAACCCACCCCCATGATCCAATCACCTCCTAGCAGGCCCTGCCTCTAACATTAGGGATTACAATTCCGCGTGAGATTTGGTGGGAACACAGATCAACATCGTATCATCCATCTGCACAGCTGGGCTTCTGCACATCAAAGCTGGTATACTTCTTGCGTGGGCATAGTAGCTCATGCCTGTAATCTCAGTACTCTGGGAGGCCAAGGCAGGAGGATCACTTGAGCCCAGGAGTTCAAGACCAGCCTGAGCAACACAGCAAGACCCTGTCTCAAAAAAAGAAACAAACAAACAAACAAACAAAAAAAACCACTGTTATACTTCTTGATTTTTTTTTTAATTCTTTTAGTAGGTAAGTAGGTCTTGAATTTATTTTGCAAACAAGACCTATTCTATCTACCTTGTCATTTAGGAGGCTAGATTGTTCTTTAGAAAGTGAAAACCGGCCGGGCGCGGTGGCTCAAGACTGTAGTCCCAGCACTTTGGGAGGCCGAGGCGGGTGGATCACAAGGTCAAGAGATCGAGACCATCCTGGTCAACATGGTGAAACCCCGTCTCTACTAAAAATACAAAAAATCAGCTGGGC